GGAAAGAGGAGTGGGGGGACAGGGCACTGTCCTCTTCTGCATCACCCTCATTACATCCTGCCACAGTGGCATTCTCTGTTGCTCTGGCCCCAGGTCCTGGCCAGGTTCAACTTTAACTTGTGAGTTCCAGCTATTCTCACCTACAGGTGCAAGGGGCTGGATAGAATGTGATCTTCATCACTCACGAATTGTAGCACTGAGCAGCCGACACAACCCACTGTTCGGTGATGAGAACACCTCCGCAGAAGTTCCCAGAATTCAAGAACACTTGGTAAGGGACAGAGCCCTTCTGACAGGCATTGCCTCCCACAATCCTGTCATCATTGTAGTCACGAGGGACAGCAACTGAGGGAAATAGGGAAAGTCAGTGCTAACACCATAGTTCAGAGCACAGTGGCCAGAAAAGCAGCAGCACTCAGTGAGGTGCCAGGGACTTGGCAATAACCAAAGGGTTTGTACTTCAGGCAGCCCCTGCACATTTCTGAGGACTCCCTGGAATTGTCTCTGTTTTGTATCTTAGGGCATTTGTACACGCCACGATCTTTTTCGCTTACCCTGCCGCTGTAGCAGAAAGCCCCTTTTCCTCTTGCCTGCAGTTGCTCTCCCCTCCTTAGATATGTTTTTCCTCTTCTACCTTTTCTTCCTTCTTCTTTCTTTCACTTTAAGATAAGGAATTGTGTTTTGAAATGTGTATGTGTGTATTTTGTATCTCCCCTTGTATTTTGGTATTTTTATCTATTTGTGTGCCATGGCATTACATTTGTAGCTTATATTTTATACTCCTCACCTTTCAACTTTCAACTAAATGTGTTTAATTTCATAAGTAAGTTATACATTGTAACAATGTTAACAAGGGCAGGAATCAAACTGCCCTTCTCTGTATCAGGCTGGCCCCTGAAAGAGCAAGTGAATCAGTGATTGAATGTGTAACATGGTAGCAGGCAGCAATTAACACCTAAGAAAACTGCAGATCAACCAACGGAAGAACTCAATAGAAGACAATGCAACAACTGGGAAATCTCTAAACCTCACTGATCAAGGGCTAGAAGCCCTGGCCTGAGTTAATCAATGCCGGGGACCAACTTTTGGGCTGAATATCTCTGAATCGACCACTCCCAGTGCCCTATTCAAAATTCATCAACTGACTCCTAAACCTGCACGTACATACGGATGACCCCTGGAGCTGACAGATGCCGTGCAGTAGCCACCGAGGGGGGAAGTCCCATGAGGGTCAATGACCCCTGGATTGGGCTAACCTGAAAACTGGGGAGTCACCAAAGTCTGCCAAGGACAGATAAAAGGCAGTGAAAAGTGACCCTCAGTGGCACCCTCTTGATCTCCAACTTGACCAGCACCCGACCTGTCCAGCCAGACGGACCAGCCGGCGACCCCCTTCTGGAAGATAACACCACGCTGAAAGAATCCTCAACGACAGACTCCAGCACCTGCGGGATAGGTATACCTGACTCTTGTAGCTTGCTACTCTGTGTGTGTGTGTGTGTGGGTGTGTGTGTGTGTGTGTGTGTGTGTGTGTGTGGAAGGACCAGCCCCAAGGTTTATAATTTAGCTCATTACAGTGTTTCAATCTGCCTAATAAACCAGAATTTTAAGGATCTTGAGTTGGACATTTGTAGCCAACACCACAACTGCATTTGTGTTTGCACAAGCGAGATTTCCCGCTGCTTTAAAAGTCTTTTCAGCCTGTTAAACTAAAGCTGCTTGGACACATTTTATTTTGTGGTGCCGCCACCGATTATGCCACCCTATCTATGGATTTGTGTCGTGCAAACACTAAACAACTCAAAGACTTGTAAATATTTTCCTTTGCCACCAGGTGGTGCTGTGCTATTTCTGTAGTGGCCAGTAGATATTGCTGCTAGTTAATTTTTTTTTCTTCCTGCCCATCCATGCCTCCCTCCCCTGCTTCCACAGCTGACCGCTGGCATCCAGAGGACACTGTGGGGGCACCGAATAATCAATAAAGAGAAATGGAGTAGCAGCCCATATTGTGAAGTTCTGTGACTGTATTTACTACCCTCTGTCATTTTTGCACCTACCTCCACCAGAGGTACTGTATGTGCACCACGTGCCCATGTGCCCCCCACCCGCACCCCCTGCCTGCTGCACCCACCACAGTGTTCAGCACTGCCAAGCGCAGCGGCATCACCAGAATGGTAAGTCTGCAACTACTGTTTGGAAGGTGGGCACTGCCTGCCAGATATCCCAAGATATGCAGCATCCCTGGTGATATATAGGTAATATCAGAAATGTCCCACGATCTTGGGAGGAGGGATGGGTCTGCAGGCAGTGTTTGGACTTTCATTGGTTCAAAACCCCATTCTTCTTGTTTCTTCCCCTCCTTGCAGAACACTTTGGAGATCCGAAATTGAAAATTTTCAGCATTAAGGAAAACATGAATTAACACCACCCACCTGTTAGAAGCAAATTGTTTTCATTAAATAGGACTTTGTTTTTGTACCTTTTTCTATTTTCCTATTTTTCTATTAATTTAACAAACTCTGAAATTTTCTTTAATTGACTTATTATCTACTTTTTTTAAAATAATGCCTTTATGATAGAAAAATATTGTAATTGCACCCCATTTTTAAAATAAAGATTTGAAAATGTGTGCATGTTTTCTTTCATAGGCAGACTGGCAGTCTGTGCAGTTCAGGGGTAGGTGACGTGGGTTGGGAGAAGGGATGACCACGCCCGCGTATCTCAGCATGGGGATCCTTTGCTTGTGTGGGTTTATCTGAGTGATGGCATTACTGGAAAGAGTTGCAGGGTGGACTGTTATGGGAGGTCAAATGCTTTTCCAAAATGCTTGTTTTATCCCCAATCCCAATGCACAGCGATCCCGGCAAGCTGATGGTGCAGCAACTTTTTTCGAGAGAGACTTCCACTCACCCATGCAGAACACCCCATCCCATGCACAACAGGTCAGCTGCAGTACTGGGGCAGGCATGGGAGAGTCTTCCTCAGCATTTGAAAGCGTGCAATTAGCAACTCTTTCGAGCCTAATGCTTGGGTACGGTGGGTCAGCTGTATGCACATATGCAAGATAGTTTCACAAAAGACAAGAGTCACATGAATCATTCTCTTTTGACAATCCTATAATGATATTTATTTACCCTTTTTTTTCTTTGCAATACTAAAACCATGACACAGTTACATTCATATGAATCCAAGCATTCACTGAGAAATCACCCATGTGCCCATGCGGGGCAGAGAGAAAAAAATAACACAAAAAATAACATTCACAATTTCAGAACTTAATAGCTAGCATCAACTACTTGCAATATTTCTACTAAGAGCATAAGAGATTTTTTTTGTGTGTTCTTTCATTTTGTTTGCATTTTTTTGAGTGAGGAAGGAAGTGTAATATTTAGGGCTATGCAAAGCTTCAGTTGCTGATTCAATTCAGCAGAAATTCGGTCTGATTTGGTGGCCAAATCTCCAAATCTGAGTCAAATCAGAGGGCCTTTTAATCTCTCCAAATCGAATCAGAACCCTCTGAATCTGCTTGGAGAGATTCAGAAAGATTCGGAGATTTGGACATAGACACAGCTTTAAATAGTTTTTCTATACACCTCTAGGCAGCAGGGGCTTGCGATCGCTGCGATGCTGGAGTGCATGGAGTGTCCCATAGGAGTGCAGAGGGCTCCCTAGCATGCTCGGCAGCAGACCCAGAAGTGGACCAGAAGCATTTCCGGTCCACTTCCAGGTCCACTGGGGAGTGTGCTGGGGGCCCCCCACCTGCGCTCCCCAGCTCAGTGACTGGTGCCTCCTGGATCTGGGGGGGGCACCCAGGGTCCCCCTGTGGCCGATTGCTGAGCCAGGGATGTGCGGGGGCGGGGCACGTGCTCCCTGGCAGAACTGGAAGTGGACCGGAATTACTTCTGGTCCATTTCTGGGTTTACCACTGAGCATGTGGAGGACCCCTTCCACACTCCTGTGAGACGCTCCATGTATCCCAGTATTACAGCATTCACAAGCTACGCTGGTACCTCAAGGTACGTAGAAAAAACTTTTAAAGCCGTGTCTATGTCCGAATTACTGACTCTCTGAATCAACATCAAATCTTCAGATTCGGATTCAGCTGAGTTGAATCGGGGACAGCAATCCGAATCAACGAATCCAATCACTGTCCCTGATTCAGGATGAATCCAAATCTGAATCCGAATCGAATAGGGCCCTCTTTGCATACCTCTAGTAATACTGTATAGTGTTTATAGTTTACGGAACAGTAAAGTTAAAGTGTAGACCAGAGCCACAAGCATATGGTATTGTAGAGGTATTGTATAGATACTTTATATATAGTGTAAATAAACAATGCTGTATAGGTGCTGAGGAGAAAAATCCCAATTTTTTCTACATTTTGTCTATTATCCTATTTTTTAAATTTTTCTTTATTATTTAAATCTTTTTTAAATTATGCCTTTTTTGATTTAAAAAAATCATTTAAGTGCACCACATGTTTGTAAGAAAGATTTGAAATTGTGTCTATATGCATGGCGTGTTTTCTTTCATAGGCAGATTGGCATGCATCAGTCTGTGCAGTTTGGGGGTGGGTGGGTTGGGAGACAACATGATCACCGTGCCCCTGCTGCCTGCCTCAGCGTGGGGTTCCTTTGCTTGGGGGCATTTATGGAGTGATGGCTTTACTGGAAAGAGTTGGACTGTTATGGGAGGTTCAATGCTTTTTTTACCCCCAATCCCAATATACAGCAATCCTGGCAAGCCTTCTTGCAATCCTGCAGCACCTTTTGGCAAGCAACAGTTGTCCTCCCCCCAACCATCCACCGTAGAACCTGACAGACAGACAAGAAGAAAAAGCAGCAAGTGGCAATACTGGGCCAGGCATGCATGGGAAAGGCTTCCTTAACATTTGAATGAGAGCAACTCTTCTGTGTAATGGTTGGCTTTTCTTTTTTCCATCACTTCCAAAACACCCTTCCCCCCCCACCCCATGTGTGGTGCTTTGAGGCTGCCAGTGGTTGTGGGAGGGCTCATTATATACCTAGCCATCCTGAATCATGTCCTGTGGTGGAAGGGTTAAGTATACCTCTCATTGGCCAGCTGTGGGGGGGGAGAGGGGGTGTTGGGTGGGCAGTGGGTGGGTGGATGGGGACCAAGTGAAGAGCCTGCAGCCGGGGTCTGCCTTAGGAGTGTGGCTGGGGAGGTGGGGGTCATATTCCACCCCAAGCTCAGCCACAACCCACCATTTCAAAGACATTTCATAACACTCCTCCAAAAGCCGCATGTTGCACTAAACAAATAGATTCACAGTGGCAGGTGGGCAGGGAAGGAGAGTGGTGGGAAGCAGCCCCATTGATGCAACCCCATGGAAACTGTTCCAAGCCCTGGCAGCTTGGGAATGCTGGGAAATGTAGTCCTAAAAAGCCGGAAAAGTAAGAGCTCACCACCCACCACCATCAGCTGCAATCACCAACCACCCGGGGCAGCAACACCCACCCGCTACTCTCAACCCTGTACATTTCTGATATCATATGGTAAATTAATGAGGATCAAACATCGTGGCGTGTACAAACACCCTTAATGCCCACCAACACAGATAGCTTGTGTCCAGTATTTTTCTGGCTCAGGAAGCAAACAAGATTGGAGCTCAACAGCGTTGCTCCTTTGTTAGGAAAGCAGTGCTGGACATTCCTGTTAGGCCTTAAATCCTTCAAGTCCCCAAAGTGCTTTACAAATATCAAGTTTATAGTAGCAATGTCACCTAACACTGACATGCTTGCTACCCCCTCCATCTTTGGGGAGAGAAGAAGAGAAACAGCACCCATCAGCTTAGAGAAGGAAAAAAAAAGAAAATGATTCAATCCTATTGATACCGCCCCCTCAGCTTTTCCCCTTGGCTGTGAAAAGAGGGGAACAGAAGCAAAGTGAAAAGCAGTGAGAGGGTAGGGGTTCTCATTTTCTCTACCTGCCCAGAGGGCAGCAGATAGGCATGTCTGTTCTCATGGTGAACTCTCGCAGCGAGAGTCGGTGCTGAGGGTTTTTTTGACCCTCAGATATGCAAGTTACTCTGCATAGATGAGTGAATCCTGGGTTGCACTCAGTGGGGCATAGACAGATGTTTTGGGTCTTTTTCCTGTGCTGCCAGGAGCTTATGCGCTCAGATTCAATGCACCATGAGGGGGCCTCCAAGCTGAATTCTGCCAGGGCCTAATCTGGGAAAATGGACACAGAATGAGTACTCAAATAGTTTCTTCTGAACCTTTGCCCTGTCTCTGTCCTGACTCTGCTGTTCCTGGGTCTTGGCTTGAAGTTCTCTCTCAATAAATATAAGCAGAGAGAGTGACCAACCAGAAAGAGGCAAGAAATCGCAGGAACAGGCAGAAATAGAGACAGAAAGGAACCTAGAATTACAGAAAGCCACAGTTTAAAACTTAGCCCTGCTGAGCACTGAGGACAAGTAGGATCTGGAGGGTAAAATGGGTTTGGGAAACTCACCAGCTGCTCCCAGGAAGTTGAGAAACAGGAGGAACTTCATGTTCCAGTAGCACTGTCTGATGTGAGAACATGTGCCGCAGAAACCTCACCCTGCTTTATACCTCTCAGAGGGGCTTATCTCCTCAATCCTAGTTCCCAGCAGCTTGCTACTTCCCAGGGTCTTGCATCATCATGGACAAATGCTGCTTCCAACTGGAGGCAGGAAGGTGATGCGATCAGTGTGAGCATTTCCTAAAATGGAAAATCAAAGACAAATCTTATTTCACTTTTAGGAGGCACGTTTTACATAGCACTTAAGTGGATTCCATGTGTCTAAATCACTAATTGCAATCCTATTCCACCTTGCAAAATAGCCAGAAAACCACTAAGTGGGCTGGATTCCTCCAGTGACATTGGTCTGCAAAGTTCTGCAGGTGATTGGACTTGGCGTCCTGAGCATGCTCAGAGCTGATCCAGAAAAGTCAGCAGTGTTACCGGCTCTACCTGTGCTCTGCTGCATACAGGTTTCCCTCGATTTATGTGGTACACGCGTTCCCGGAAAACTGCGCATAAATTGAATTCACATAATTAAGGAAACCCAGTTTATAAAGTAACAAATAGGGATACATTTCTGTAACACTGAGGGAGGGAGGGGGTAAGGCTGGGACTAGGGGAGGGGCACAGCACAGCCCATCGGACACTCCCGGGGCTGCAGCAGGGAGCAAAGCAGGGGGAACTGTGATGGGTGCGGGGTGCAGGATGAGGGGGCATGGTTCTTGCTGCTCTGTGCACCCCAGGAGGGCTGCGGGCTGTGGGGGCTGCACTGGGCTCTTCCCAGGTGGCATGTGCTCCTGGATCTGCATGCGGGAGGAGAGCTGGTGGCACTGGGCTCTTCCCAGCACTCGGGGCAGGCCTCAGCAATAAGAGGGGGGCTGATGACACCACAAAATTTGCCATAGCCCCCCCAACCTGGCTTCACAGCGCTGCTGCCAAGCGCTGGGAAGAGCCCGGTGCCACTGCCAGCCCCAGCTGGCAGTGGGAGCTTGCTTTACTCCCGTGCAGAGATCCAGGGACATGCACCCCCCAGGAAGATCCCAGTGCAGCCCCCCCAGACCACAGCCCTCTTGGGGTGTGAGTAG